CCCAGAAGACCTCTGCTGTGCTCCAGCATAGCTACACTCACCTCAGTGGAATAACTTCATTTTCAGTGGTGCATTTACTCCACATCTTGAATGGTCAAGATGTGAAGAGAGGAAGATTCCTGAAATAGCATCCAGCACTTCCACAGGAATCTGCTGTAGAGTCGCAGAGAGATGCAGCACTGCTTTGCTTTATCTTCCACATCTTAGAAAACACAAAGCACCCACAAGAAACAAAAAAGGATTCTGGTGTACAGATCAGAGCAGAAAGGCAGGTTGAAGAGGATGATGAAGAGGTAATCTGTAGTGAAATTCTATTATAGTTGTTTGGAGAGTATCTAACACTTATCAGAAAATACATAAAATGGTTAAAATTCTGTTACTGGGGGAAGATAAAGGTTTTGAAGTCAGCTGGATTTGGGTCTTTCCAGATAGCATGTGATATGTTTAATAGAATAATCAAGCATGTGTAACTTTTATCCAGTAAATCAAAGGTATTAATTTTCCAGCAATTCCCACCAGTAATATACACCAGAGAATAAACTTACCATCAGACTTTAATTGACCTTCGAAGACCAGTTTGAAACCAGAAAACTGAAAATTCAAGATTTCTCTGAACTTGGAAAACTGTATGAACCTTCCCTTTCCAATATTGGAATAGAACTGAGAGAACATTAGCATAAACTGAGATTGTAGTGAGACAAAATTAAAACACAGTACCAAATGGCTCATGTCCAAACATCCTGATATTTTGGTTTTTCACTGTTATGCTATTTTTCAATAAGGTATTTCTTATAAAACATGCCTTTGCCCACTTGTCAATGGGCAAAATGTCAATGTCACTAATTCTTCAGTAATACAGTTATTGTCCCCACCAATCTTGATCTCTTGTAACTCATTCCTTATCTTCTGAAATCATAACTGAATCAAAGTTCAAAATCAATTGCTGTTCATTATTGATGTTAGCAATTGAGTTAAATGGAAACAAAAACAGTCAAACTTCAATACACAGATTATACAGTAGATATACAGCAGAAGATGAGCAGATTTATTTCAGTCCCATGGACACTGATGTAGCCCTAATTTAGGAATGTTCAAAACCTCCTCTTACTGAAGTGTTATGCTTCCATGCATTGATCTATCTATAAAGGACAGACAGAAATAGGCAGCTAAACTTGTAACAGAATTAAGTTGATCCCACTTGGAAGAACAGCTTTTAGCCACAGAAAGAAAAAGCAGTGAGAAACCAGCACAGCTGACCAAGTAAACTGAAGATCATATTACACTGTTAATACAAATATGAAACATATATATATTATCATTATTTACATAGGAGGTAAAATTAAAATGATGAGTGCTTTTTGGTTCTTTTTTTTTTTTTCCCCTTAAATCAGAAGAAAAAAAGTACACATATGCTATGTTTTTCTTTAAAGCCAAATCTAGGACAGTATCTACATCGTTACCATTAGCAAATTCCAGCTTTGACAAGAAATCATTAAGAAACATTGATTAGGAAACTGAAGCTTCAGTTTCACATGCGCTACTTGTACTTGTTTCTTGATGAGCTACAAATGCTACTTATCGATATCATTCTGATCATGAGTTAGGAGCTTCAATCACTCAGATTTAACCAGTATAATAGTGTGGACTGAGTGATCTATGGACCTAGAAATGTGTCAGACTGCTGAGCACCTCAAAGAAAAAGAATGCTTATAATGGGCACAAGACATTTTCTCCAACTACAAGCAGTTCTTTTCTCAAATCTGTACCCATCAGGAAAATATCTGCCCACAGTAAGTAACACATCATAACTAGGTCATGAATTCAATTAAGCTTTCAGCAGTTCAGGAAAGTTGAGATCCAAAAAGAACTTAAATTGCATTTTTAGTGACACTGCAGAAAGTTAATCATTGAAATTAAAATGTTACTCATTACTTGCAATAGTTTTATAGAAAGTAAAATCTCACATTAAAAAGAGAATTGGTTATTTACCTTTCATCCTACTAATATTTTGCAAATGCATCAATTCCTCAGCAGAAGTATTTTGGATGCAAGAACTATGGCATGCAAAAGCCATGTCTGTTAAGAATGTGCTGGGAACAGAGTTGAATCATACTACTAAGGATGAAATGCAACAGTGTTCTAACGCATCGGTGTATACAAAACTGTTTCACTACAAATGATATATGAATCTGTGACTTGAGGAGCTCTTACCTGCAAAATAAATCTCGTTTTTTCTGGTCATTTATATTCCAAAAGGAAGTAAGAGCTTAAAAGGATTTTGACTACAGAACAAAGAACCTGTTTTATAAGACATTACAGGACCTTATCTTGCTTAGTTTAACGAAAATTAAGTTGCAAGAAAATAGAGTTTAGTGCTAGTACCTTGAGATCTGCTGTTTTTTAAATTTAAAAAAGTTATCATATAAATGAAACTGAAGTTTCCTAATCATGCTACTAAACAAGGCCTTTTAAGAAAACGGAGGATGAAATACAATTTTTAAGTCAGGAGTTTGAATAGAATTTCTTCTGTGACAGAAAGGGAATGAAATCCTTCACCAGATTTTACCGACCTTCTAAGAGTACAGCCATACTGCATCAAATATTTGTATTTTAGCTTTGGCTTGTGAAAAACTGCAACTAGATGAGAGCATTTGTGAAAGTCTACATCACAGCAACAAACTCACTTTGTGTGCTGACTTCAAGTTTCAAACTATGACTTAACAGGGGAAAAGAGCAGATCCCCGGAATTCGATCTCCACTACCTATCACTTAAGATCAATTGGGTGGTGCATGAGCAAAATAAAAATATATGTAATTGGTTAGCACTGTTTTTCTTGGTCCATACTAGACTTACACCTAAGTCCTCTTTCATGGACTACTTCTCATTAAACTCATTCTCTCAACTCTTCTTTAAAGAAGAATATGCACAATTCAGATGCTTTTGGAACATTCCATTTGGTACGTACATGGAAATCCTGCGAGGTATTTCAAGAACTGGCTCAGTGCATACTGGGTTTTTTTAATCATGTGGGGCAGTAAACGTAAAGATAGCTTGTCCTTGATAAAGCAATCAGGCATGACTAACAAGATTGTTGCTTGGGTAGGCTAGGACTTACAGTGGAACAAAACAAGCACACAGAGTTGCTAGACACAAAGGGAGTAACAGTAGTCCCCCTCTACTTTAAGTATTTACGCAATAAAAGAAACTTCACAAACACCAAGTCACTACTAAGTAGCAAAAACATCTTAAGACTTAAAGGTTTTTGGAATTAAAACATTTTGCCTATACCTGCTGAGTGCTTCAAAGAAGAAAAGAGGATGCAGATAAGTATAAGGTCATACAATCTCAGCAAAGGCCAAGGAAAACAACCTTTGGACACTACTATTGTTTTTCTCTTACCTCAAAATGTACGTCAGCTAGTTTGTCTCAAGATATTGTTAACACAAAGCATGAGTAATTAATAAGGTAAATTTGTTTTACACAAGCACGATGCTAGTGGCACTTGGCAAGAAGCAAAACTCACTCTTGGCGAAGTACATCACCACCATCTAGGGCGCTGATTTTATATTTGTGTGGATCCTACAAAAAACAAAAAAGCTAATCCACAACTAATGATAGATTATCCAAAAGACAACTGGTGACATTCTCTCCTCCAGTACCTAAGCAAAACTATGCAAGGTTGAGAGTTTTAGGTGCGCAGCTCAGACAGTGTCTTTACAACCAAGCCAGCTATAGAGCATTTCCTATGTGCTTTAACTCATTGGCATTGAAGATGTAACCATTTACAGATCTTTTATTTATTCACTGTACTATGCATCAATCTTAGAGATGTCTCCTTATGCTTGAGTTTTCGACCACCCACTAAAAATATTAGAACTATTGCACCTGAGACTCAAAACACTGTTAACCCCATTTCACCAAGTATCACAACACATGTTGCCCATTTTCAGCATTGTTTGTAACGTTTGGACTGATGGTCATATTTAAAGTAGGTGGTGAATAATAAAAGAGGACACACAAATGAAGTCTACTTACACTTCACAAAAAATACATGGGAGTAAGCATTCACAAAGTTAAAAGATGAAGGTGGAAAAAAATAATAGCAGAGACCCAATCCCAGCTACAAAGCATGTTACTTCCCTAAACAAGAAAATGGGTCATTATTCAAAACCATCCCCAAACCACAGCACTTCCTCAACACACCACAAACAGGCTTTACATAGTCTTCAATTATACAAGGAATACTGGAATAAAACAGTGGAATGCTAATAGTCTTATGACATCAGAAAATCTAAGAATGAACTTCTCTGAACTAACCAAATAGCTTCTGCTGTATATGACACTTAAAACAACCTTCAGGAGATTAAAAATATCACTGTCCTCCCAGGTTAATGAATTTATTTGCACTTACATTTTAGTAGTTAAAGATATAGCAGGTGACTGAGTATTTGCCTCTGTCTCCCACACAGCCTTTACTTAAAATAATCAAGCGGTTTTAAAACATAGCTTTTAACATCTCACTATTAAAAGTGTGCTTCTTTCTTGCAAATCCTGGATTAATGCCCTCTCTCATACTTTGAAGTAATCTCATGTGCTATTTTTTGAAATGTATGCTTTGTTATCTCTCCATTAAAAAAATAAAAAATTCATACCAATTCTACAGTTCTTCTGAATTTTGAGCATGAAAACGATTAGGGAAAAAAAAAAAAAGAAGTTTGCTGTACATATGTCTTTAAAAGTGCACAGGATACTGCAAATCCTGAATTGAACACTACTTTTCCTACCTGCAAACAGTTACAAGAGATAACGTGCTGTAATTGAGGGTTTTTTTGTTTTGTTTTGTTTTTTTAAAACAAGTTAGATTAATGTTACAAGATCCTGGATTACAAAATTTCAATTCCATTAACTTTTAAAGTAACATACACATATTTTAGGATGATACACTTCTTAAGTCAAATAGATTTCAGCATCTGCCAACACAACAAAAGATGAGAGAAAATGAAAAAACAACTTTACACTTTTTACTTAAAAACCACATAAGAAATGCAATACAGTACATATTGGGAACTTTTTCAACAAACAAGATATAGTGTTAACAATACGCAGAAACATTAAGCAGCTAAGTTTGCCCTTTGTGATACTGCTCCAGCAATTGTTTCATTCCTTGTAGATCTACTGCAGTTGTAGGACTACAACTGACAACATACAAAGAGATCCGCAGTTGAAAAATTATTTGAACAGTATCTTCCAGAAGTTCTATTTCTTTGAGTAACAAAAATGGAATTTTTTGTGCTCATTAAAAAGCTATTGTAAATTGAATCCCAACTTCCATATTATTTACTTTCCCACAGAAAAGCGTTTATATGAAGTTAATACTGCTATTTCTTAAGCTACCTAACAAAGCAGGTAACTACTGAGTTTCCACAGTCAAAAGGCTAACAGCAAATTCTATATATTTTCTTCTTATGAAGAAAAGCATTCTCTGAAACTGTTGCTAAAGCACTCTATTATATTTTAAACTCAAGTAACAAGAACAAATCTGCAAGGCATTTCTTCCACCAAAACGCAGGGAACCAGCCCTATTACAATATTACAAAACTAGACTATTACAGAGGGCTTTCTTTTTCCCTATGCACCTTATTTAACTCCAAAGATAAGTCATATTTGTATTCTACGGTACACTTCTACAGTGTTCTTTATACATCTTTCCACCCAAAAACCTATTCCCTATGGATTCAAGCTGTCACATCAGCATCACCCATCTTTGGGATAAGCCTCAATTACAGAGGATGGTCCTTAATACTGTCTATTGAAAAAGGTTCCTAAGTCAGTGTACACAGAATCTTTTAGGTTGGAAGGAACCTCTGGTGATCACCCAAATCTCCTCAAGCATGGCCAGCTAGACCAGGCTGCCCAGGACTTTGTCCAGTTTGGTTCTGAGCATCTCCACGGATGGATACTCCACAGTCTGTGACCACCCTTGCAGTATTAAAAAAAAAAAAAGTGTATTAAGTTGTCCCCATGCTTTTTGTCCCAACACTGGGTGATACTGAAAAGAGTCTGGCTCCCGTCTCCTCATTCCCTCCTTCCAAATGCTTGTACACATTTATAAGAACCCCCTGAGCTTTCTGCGTTCCAGACTGAAGAGTTCTAGTTCTCTCAATCTCTCATAGACTTGTTCCATCAAGCCACTGTCTTCCTTCTACTGGGGAGCATACAACAGGACACAGTATGACAGATGCAGCCTCACTAGTGAGGAGTAGGGAAGGATTACCTCCCTCAATCAGCTCACAAGGCTTCCCAGTGCAACCCAGGATACCATTAGCCTGTTTTGCTGCAAGGACATTGCTAGTTCATGGTCAGTTTGTTGTCTGCCAGAAACTCAAAGCCCTTTCTCAGCAAAATTGCTTTCCAGACAGCAAGCCCCAAGACTGTACTGATAACTCAGTAATACTTCAGGGAGCAAAATTTTTACTCACTGAACTGTATTTTTTTCCTCTGTATGGTTTTTTTGGACCACCAAAGCCCCTCTTAAGGCCAGCACAATCAACGTGGTGTTATCAGCCACTCCTCACAGTTCTGTGTGACATGCAAACTTGCTGAGTGTGCATTCCATTCCATCATACAGGTCTTTAACAAAGATGCTGAATATTACTGGCCACGGTATCGAGCATTTGCATACACCACTAGTGACTTACCTCCTAGTGAACTTTGTGACACTGATAACAAAACCCCTGCGGCCACTCATTCAGTCACTTTTAATTCATCTCATTGTCCACTTATCTATCTGTACTTTGTCAATTTGCCTACTAAAGTCAAGGTAAAGAACACAGACTGTTTTTCCATTATCCACCAAGCTAATCACCACACTGTAGAATGAAATCAAGTTGGTCAACTATGATTCCCCCTCTGTAAATCTATGCTGACTTTAAATTGCTTTACTGCCTTCCACATGTTTGAAAATGCTGTCTGGGAGGATACTCCTTCTCACCTTCCCAGGAACTGCATTAAGGGTGACTTGCTGGTAATTCCTCATATCTTCTCTCTAGTTTTTCTTGAAGATAGGAGCGATATTTGCTTCTTACCAGTCTACAGAAACCTTTCTCAAATTAAAAGATAATTGAAAGGCCTTGTAAAGGCATTAGCTAGATTCTTCAGCACTTCTGCATGCAACCTGTCAGGTGTCATGGATTTCTGTATATTTAGTTTAATGCATCTCTATGTTGGTTCACCACCACTGAGGTTACCTCTTCCTTGTTTCAGGATTCCCTTCTGGTTTCAGCAAGCTGACTCCTGGTCATGACTGTATTATCGGTAAAGATTGAGGCAAAGAAGGCACTGAGTATCTCAGACTTCTCTACATTATTTGTCACCCAATTTCCCTGTCTCATGTGACAGCAGGCCCACACTTGCTGTATATGCATTTGTACAATCCATGCCTGAAGCATGAGGAACCACTCAACAAACAGCTACTTTCTCCTCAAGATACATGCTCTTTCCTAGACTTCTAATGCAGACCCCTCACATTCTGATGAAATAAAGAAAATACTTTGATTTCAATGGGGGGCAATTTAGGAGCCCAAGCTGATTTTCCCAGACTATGCTTTGTGCAGTGGAAAGCAACATACCAAGTAGCATCCTTACTGTTTTGTAATTTAAAGTGTTCGCATGTGTATATTTCTACCACATCCAATTTCTGTATAAACTGTTTATGTTAGATAGAGTAGGGATATAAGGAATAAAAGTACTTGGTGGCTTGAGTACTTTATCAGAAATATGCATTGGCTTTGTAAAAACTGACTACGCTTTATATTAAGCAAAATACTGAATAAGCTTTTCTGATTAGGAAGATCTAATATAAAATATGAGTGGTTTTCCCTGTAAATTATACTGCAGAAGTCATCCATATGACTTGTACTTAACTCTTTTCTTCTCATGCAGCATTACAATATTTCCCCCCACCCAACCCACAAACAAACAAAAAAAAAAACAAACAGATATTCCACTAGTTGTTACACATTGCACTTTTAAAGCACAGACTTGCCAGTCTTCTGCATTTCCAGTGTCCTGCTTAAACAGTTGACATAGTCCTCATTTTACGAAACTGGAAGATTTCGCCTAAGTACTTCTTTTGATGCTGGAGAAATGTTATCTGGGAAAATTACTTCAAACTCTATAATTAAGTCTCCACGTTGGTCAGGATTTTTGGGAAATGGCAAACCATATCCTATAATTCTTCTTCTCATCCCAGGCTTTACAACTTCATTTACTGTCATGGGTATGGTTCTTCCTTCTATTGTTGGCACATTGATAGAGCTGCCACACAATGCCTAGAGAAAAAGATTGTATCATGAGAAAAATGGATTGGTCAGAACGCCGTAGCTACACATGAATTTTATTTAGAAAAGACTAGCATTGTAAACAGAATACCTCCACTGTGAAGTGCAGAGATCTAGTATTCGTAAGTCTATTTGAATTTTGACAAGATACACTAATCTTATGTAATACCCACTGAAGAGTGAGTTTATATATTCTTCCATGACTTTATCAAGTAGTATGGTAATTGAGCCCAGGGCAAACACACCATTCAAAACTCTCCAATAGCAAATCTCCAGATACTTTACAATTTATACTGGTAATTTAGAATCTACCGTTAATACTTTAGAATACTGTTAATAATTTAGAATTCTACTGTTCAATTTTTTGTTCACACTGCACAGGGATTTACTCTAATACTTTTATCAACTTATGTTACATCAAATAATACAACATTTAAATGTCTTTTAGTAGAGACAATCAAATTTAATAGTTGTCTTAGGAGAGCATTTGTGATGGTCAACAAACACTATTTTAGAATATCAAAATTAAAACATCATTAAAACAAACAGGTTTTCTCCTGTTTGTTTTCATTACTAAGGTTTCTGATAAAGATTCTTCCACTTCACCTGGTCCTGTATACTTGGTCTATACTGATAGATGTTCACTATTACGTAACAGTGCAATAAATCTACATGGTCTTTCATCCATGAAGAACTGTATTACACACATCATTAAATAGTTTTATCCCTCCTTCACCCTGTTGTGTTTCATTTTACTTTAAATGTATTTTTAGATAGGAATCCTCACAGAAGGGAGCTCATAATATGCACAAAGAGCTCAAAAAGTAAGTAAAAACTCGCTCCTTCACCTAATACTGATTGAAAGAAAACACAAAACACTCAGCTATGTTAATTTTTAAATTATGACCACAGCACAGCTTCAGATTCTGAAGAACTCTCCTTGGTTGCCCAATTCTTTCCTTTTGAAAGCCAGCGTGTTTTGTTCTTGGAATAGAATAAAAAAAGCTATAGCATTTTTGTTGTTATATATAGCTCCTATAACACCTGTTCTCAATAATTTATCCTCATGAAATCAATCTCTACCTACTTTGAAATCACACTGAAATAACGTATGACATAAAAAAGGCAGGCTTAGAATTTGCTGGCACTGAAAATAGTTAAGAAATTTCTACTTTGTTCCGTGGAAGCAGCAATTACATCACACAATAAATAAGCATACTATATTGAATGTATCTGTTGATTTAGCCTAATATGTATTTATCTAGAAAGGTAAAGTACAAAGGTTTAAGTCATATCAACTTTTACTCTTCCATCTTCATTCTCTTCCACCTCCTCCATGGTAAACAGCTTGAAATAGTACTCCATTTATATCAAAACAGCTAGTGCTTCCACTATAAATAACTACATTCTGTAGTCACATTTTTATGAGAAATGCTTTCTTTAGAACAGAAGAAAACACTTCATTGCTGTCATTTAGTTTGTGCTGTACAGCTGTGGTACCACATTATAATAGGGTTGAACAATGAGTTCCACTAAAAGAAGACTTACCTCCCTTAAGCTGATCTTAACAGGATAAACAATATTTGATCCATCTCTCTTGAAATGAGAGTGAGGTTTATCTTTTATGATAAAAACAATGTCAGCTGGAATTGTGTTGGGTGTTTCATCACCTTCTTTTGGAAAAGTGATTTTGGTGCCTTCTTTCCATCCTCTTTTTATTTCAATAGTGAGAATTTTGTCTTCTGTTCGGACACTTCTACCATCTGGGTTCAGCCTTTTACGTGAAATCCTCATCCTTTTTGTGCAGCCATGATATATCTCTTCCAATGACACCTTAAGCTCATGAATTACAGGGGGATCTTGTTTACGACGTAACTGGCTACCTACTGTATTCCTTTCTCTTGGAAAACCATTCATACTGAAACTAGTGAATGATCCAAAAGGATCACCATCCACCTCCATGTCTTCAGTGTCTCTACCACCAGGCATTCTCCTTCCAAAGAAGATCTCAAAAGGATTTGTGCCACCAAAGAAAGCTGCAAACGTAGCATGTGGGTCACCATGGAAGGAATACCGGAAGGTACCACCCTGTCCATCAGGTCCTCCAGCTCCTCCTTTCAGACCTAAAAAAAGACAAATATGCAAAATTTTATGCAAGAAAGCCTATATTAATATTCCATTTATCAAAGAGTGGGAGAATAGATATCAGAATTGACAAGCTGAAAAGGTCTTTGGGGTAGAGTGGAAGGACTCCTCCTCAATGAGGAAATATCAGACTACTCAGTATCAACTATTAATTCAAATAATCTTTCTCTCAGTCTCCATTATTCAACTCCAATCTATTGTTGATAAGCTTTACTTCTGTTCTCCTGCAATGAATTTTGAGAATAAAGGAACAGGACAACACTCAAGCAGCCATACTGTTTCTTTAACATTCAGAGCAAAATCTCAAATTTATGATAGAAAAGAGAAGAAACTTGGGAATATAATTCTATTCAGCCACAAAACAAACAACCTTCAGAAGTTCTTAAGACCTATTTGTGTACAAAAATCTTCTATAAACTGTCATCAGCTCTGTACAAAAACAAACAAAAAAAAACCCAAAAAACAAACAACAACCCACATTGTTCTCAAATAACTCTTCTCTACCTCTATCTTCCCTAGGAAGATATCCACATTTAATGCTTTTCTGGTAAGACTTCCCTTACGATTCTCACTGCCTGGTCCTTTGCACTTCTTGACTGGGTTTGCAATAAGTTCTATATGCCTTTCTTAACTCCTATTAGATTTTTGCTTTGATGCACTGACAGTTTCAATATACCATCTCAAACATCTAAGAAAAAAAATTGAAAGTTTTTGTAGGACACATAGTTCAAAACTCATAATGTTCAATTCTTTTTTTTTTTTGTTTGAAAAAACATTTTGTTTTGGTTTGTTCCTCCCCCCCACACCCCCCCAACTGTTTTGCTTGGAATTTCTATGCCTAAGCCTAATACCAGTTACCAGCAGTAACTAAGAAAGACATCAGAATAAGGACAACTTCCCTCATCTCCACACCATGCCATTAAAAAGTACTTAATGTGTAGTGCTATCCACATAGCACAGAACTGTTAATGGTAAACAATCTGATCAGTGGATCTAAGAATCTGTGGTAACAAAATGACACCTCCTGGAATAGCTGGTCAGAAGTTTTTATTGAAAGGCACACCAAGGTTCTTCATTGTAAAAAAAATAATGATGTTTTCTGCTTCCTGTATCCCACCTCCTCACCTCTTCCTCAGAACTGCTAATTACACTCTCTGAAGCAATGGAAAAGCTGAGAGAACAACTGAGTCATCACAAGGTATTTTCCAGAGTCACCACTGCTACCTTTAACGTTTTGTCCAAAATAAACAAACGTACATTTTGAATCTCTAGACTCAAGTATATGTGCTAGGACACAAAAGGCCACATGCCTTACTTCTGAGAAAAATAACGTAAAAAAACGCATCTTCGGGAGAGCCATTTGAGAAGAATGCTGCACAGGAATAAAAAATAAAAAATAAAAAAATCAAGGAATCACAAGGTAAATAGTTTTTATAGTCAGATACAGAAAAGAGGTGTGGAAAATAGGAAGAAATGCAAGGAGGCAGAAGACCAAGAGGGAATGAAGGCCTCTGGTATCTAAAGCTTTTTCCAAGAATGTTTTAAAAACAGCCCTAAACATTCTGGACAACTGCAGTAGAACAAACAAAAAACACTGCACCACGTGCAGAAGCTAAAGGCCTTCTACATGAATTTATAACAATTTTTTAACAAATTCATTAAGCCCCACAGGTGACAGAGGGTCAAATTTCATATAAGAACTTGCAACTTCCTGCACAAAATAATGCTAGGTGTCCTTTCTTGCTCTCTCGAGGGGGGGCATGAATGGCAATGAATGAATGGACATACATATTAAAAACAGAAATAATGATTTCATCTGGAATTTCTGACAGTATAATTTTAAGAGGAGGGTTGTTAATGTCCTCCTCTGTTGTTCAATCATAAGACTGAGGCAAGTCATGTTGGTCAAAAATAAATTAAAAAAAAAATCCTCTCCAGATAACCATTTTAGGATAAATATGACATTTCTGAGGCCTCATTCTCTTGGCATGTTATCACTGTTTACAATTAAAGCTAAAAAAATGTGCTGGTATTTCATGACATCAGCCGAATTCTTTCCCCCCTAGGCAAGAAGCCAAGGACAACTACAGACTGGACACCTGGGCTTCTGCTCAGGACTGCAGGATCAAGCAGAGTGCCCTTTAACAAAATCTTAAAACAGAATTCATCTCTCTGACTGCATCTCAGAAAGTGCTAGAGTAAGGGAAGGCAGCAGTAAGACGAGATCCCAGAAAGCTATTTATGGGTCATACAGACTTTTGCAGTCCAATGACTTTCTGCCTGTGAAGTAAGTATTTGGGACTTCTTAAACACAGAAACATTAACAGAAGAAATTAAAACTAGACTATCATAAAACCTGTGCAATACATTTTACATTATAAAATTACATTATAAAAATGAGACAAAAATCCAAGTGGTACAGACATATTGCCTAAAACCAACATATACTTTTATGCATCATCTGTGCTTATTTTGTTTCTTCCAACACAAGTGGCCCCTCAAAAATTACAACAAAGATATACGTACCTTCTTCCCCAAACTGATCATAAATGTCTCTCTTTTTGGGATCACTCAGCACTTCATAAGCTTCTGCAATCTCCTTGAATTTTTCCTCTGCATGAGCAGACTTGTTCTTATCTGGATGCCATTTAAGCGCTTGTTTTCTGTAAGCCTTTTTGATATCCTCTTCAGAAGCCCCCTTTTCAATTCCCAGAATAGAATAATAATCCTTCCCCATCCTCAGCGTTACAGGAATTTAGACTTTCCTTGTTATAAAGAAACCAGTATCCAGTATCTCAGCAATGCGGAGAAGCTAGAGAAGGAAAAATAAAGATCAAATTTGGAAATTAAGTAAACAGAACAACAAAAAAAAAACAAAAAAAAACCAACAAACTCTGATACGCTAGAGAAACGTTAGATAGCTTATCCGTATTTCATTCCTTCCGCTGTTGCTCATTTATAAATAATTACACACACAGGACAGGACACAGCCCTCTTCAGAGTCCTCCCATCTAAACTACGTGTCTCCGACTCTTTCTAGAACGACAAATACTACAGGGCGTCACTTCCCCTGCTGAACAGTCTGCACAGTCCATTTGCTCTCAAGCATGCACACACACAAACTGTTGAACTATTTCCTCCCTCCTCCAGCAACTAGAAAGTTTAAGCATTTAACAGTGCAATGCAGTGCCTTTCACCAGCAGGGATGAACCCAACCAAGTCTAAAAGACATAATCACTCCAACAGCAATCCAGTAGCTCATATGAAATAATTACAGCATTTTACTTCTGTTTCTGTAGTGACAACTGTACATACAACTGCTTTCTGAACATATAATCAACATGGGTTTGTACACTTTCCAGCAAAGACTGCAAAGTTTTTGACACCAAAGCTAACGACAAAGCTTCAGAAAGACTAACTGCATTTCTTTAAAAATAAAATTAATTAACTCTCAGCTGCAGTTGACTGTACCATTAAGCAAAGAATCAAACATGAAAGAAACCTTAAAGAAACCAACAAACACTAGAAGCAGATCAAATGCGTGGGTTATTATTTTTTTCTCCCCCCCCCCCTTCCCCCCCCCCCCCCATAGTGGCAATATCAAGCCAATGCGAGTATCGCAACATATCAGTAACAGCCAGCATTAGCGCTGTCATATGAAAGCTAACAGAAAAGTACCCAATTCCTGCACATTTCTTTTACAACATGTAGTTCAAATTGTAATATTCAAGGTTTTCTAATACTCTGGAGAGGGAATGGTATCAAGTTTTAGACTGTTTGATTTCTTTCAGTTATGAAACTATCCTTGTTTATCAGGATTGTAATAAACTTGATTAGCGCAGCTTGAAAAAATGCTCCTTCCTGGAAAAAAAAAAGGATTAAAATATGCTAATTTTAGTCATATCTGGAACTTACTCGTAAGAAAGCATCTCTTAGACTCAAACTATCTTCCCTATAGTGTTGCAAAGTTTAAGAGGGTATAAATAAGATAAAGGACTCTCAAAAGAGAATGTTAATCCTTAGATTAACTGGTTTTGTTCCTTTAAAGAAAACAGTTTCTGAAGTTGTTTTCCAGATTCTGGTCTAACTTCAAAGGAGACAAATAGAGAAGATTTCTTCTAAAACAGCGTATTATAAAAAGAGATATCTCACCCCCTTATGTCATCACCCTATTCCCCACATCTTACCTGTTCTTTCTCACTGCGCTAGATTTGACCAGATTCCCTCAATGTATCTGGGATTTGCTTAGATTTTTGTCTAATCTCCTTGGAATAGCAATAGGGATGAAAGATGACATTTCACCACAGCCATGGATTTTGCATACCTGTAATTAATATTTCAAAACCAACAGAGGTGAAAGGGCATTGAGAAGAAGAATCTGATTTGTTTATCACCAAATCTCTCAGGACTGATTTAAGTTTCTGGAACACTGGGAGCCACAAGGTTCCAGAATCAATTCTCTTCACAGCTTAAGGAATAAGTTGTTATTGAGCTCTACACAAAATAAAGCTAGTCTTTTACACTTTTCTCCCTATCTTTCTTTAAAAAACATTCCCTTCGTTAATCCACTCTCCCAGATAACATCCTGTAGATCCATGTCCTAAGTTGAGGATTTTTTCTGCTATCAAATCCCTAAGGCAAGAGGGGATAAGAGGTTGAATTAAAACACTGAAACAGATTTCATTTGAAACATACTACTACTCCCTAAGAAGCAACTTTACTTATGTATGTTTTAGGGGGCAGCTTTAACTTTATTATGCTCAGGAAATAGCTGTGAATATGACAAATCATCATCCAAACTCAGCAGTCACAGTCACTCTGAATAACAACAGCAAACAAACTTCATCACTATTGACAAAAACAGAATTCAGCACAGCCCAAAGTCCTCTAGCAGAACTAACAGTACAAGGAGTCACAATGCTCAGCTGTGCTGCCATTGCAGTGTTTGAGCCAGCACAGCAGGGTCACACCTTACATCACTTGCAGTGCACTGAACAGGACCACACACTATTTGTGTGACCACGGTGATACATCATAGAATGTACAGAACAGCAGTACCTCAGACTAGCTGCAGGTTTATCTTTCATTAAGTTTTGCAAAACCTCTGGTCAATGGAAGTGGTAGAGTACATATACACTAGATTTAAAAGCAAAGTATAAAACCTTTTTTCCCCATTGAGAACATTATATTAATTATATATTTTAATTATCACAAGAATAACTAAGGAGTCTCCATAAGCATGGCTGACACTGCCCCCCGCCATTTTGTAAGACATAGTAATTAATTTTCCAGGCTTCATTAAAAGATAGTCAGTAGTCAGGACTTCTCTTTAAATCAAAAGCTTCTTCCACCTAGGCGTCGGAACTGAAGAAGTCACAATGAAAAACTTTGCTAACAATTACAGTGAGTAACTGTTCAGGCATCCTTTCTGTAGGGGGCCTACAGAGAGAAACACGCTCTTCCAGCACTAGTGCCAAGTTATACCCTAATTAGGTAAGTTATTCTCTAAAAATTACAACAATGCAACAATGAAGACTGAGTGAACACAGCAATGACTACTGCTACTTCTACTTCCTGCCTACTTGATGAGACAACTGAAACAACATTTCATAACGTATGCTCCTTCTTTCTCTCGGCACTCCCTATCTTTTTTATCATATAATTAGAGACCTTTTGTTTTTTTTACCTATGTTCCCCCTTCAGTGTTGTTAACAATAAAATCCTTTGGGCACTGTCCATAACACGAACTTCTGGCACTGCAGCTCCTTCAAATAAATGCAGGTGAACAGAAAACAGCTATTGAAAAACCTCCTATATACTTGTTTTTCATGCTATAATCTGAGTTTCTTTAATGCCTGAAGGAATATCCTGTGATCACCTAGGGTGGGACAGATGAATTCATTTATGGGATCAGTTAGTTCTTTACAAGTTTCTGCCTTTCTACTTCAAAAACTCTCTTTTGCAGTAGTATTTTTGACCATCACCAGGCATTCTGTCAGCAAGTTCCCAGCTCCCCAGAGTCCTTGCATTAGAGTAAAACCTTTATTGAGGTTGGTGTTTGGGTTGGAATAGGGTAGGAGGTACCTACCCTGCTTGCGTACCTGCTAGTGCCCAGAATTCCATGTGCACCACACTGGAATGCCAGCTCACCATCTATTTGGACTTTTAACTGAATTTTGCCTAGGGAGCACTACCAGCATGCAACCTGGTAGAACTTATATAGCTCCTTGTATGTGACAAGCTAGTAGTACTGCATTCTGCAACTCTATGATGCCCCCCATAACCACTAAGCTAGGTAGCTATAAAATCAGAAAAACTATTACCTAATGCTTTGATTCAGAATGCTCATGAACAAGCATCAAGCAAATTGTGAAACACACATCTCCAGTAACACACTTGTCTATGGCACCACCTCATACACACAATCTGTCATTTAGCATTCTTCCTCATTCTACTGTATCAACACTTCTGAATGCTATACCACATAAACAAAAAGCTGATGGCTGATTCTTTACACAGCCAGAAGCAATAGCCGTATTCAATTGCTGTCATATCAAATGGCATTTGTGAAAATAGTGCTTAGTCAATTCTGGAAAACCATTTTCTGCCAAACTATGCTCAGTGATCACACTACTACAGGAAATATCAATGTTAATTACCAAGTTTAGATTCTGGTAGAATCTCTTCTTTCTTCCAAATGCTTCATTCCATGGTAGGGAAAGGAGCAAAAAGAAAGAAATATTTCAAATGCCTGTGCAGCATGTGAAAATTCAAATACTAGAGGAGCACCTGAAACACAGCTTATGTGATGAATCCCAATTGTTAGAAAGTTGTAGTCTGTGTCTACTTTACATGCATATACTTTCAGGCAGCACATCATTTGTCAGACAAAAATGAAAGTAAGTTCTGAAACAATGCTCAGCATGAAGGCATTCTTTTGTAGCAGAAGTTTTCTAAGCATTCATATATACATAGGTTCTTCAAACATCCTCTACACAAGTAGTCCTATTCACTTTTACTCAAAAGCATAACATACACAGACATACAGATACAGACATACAGGTATTAGTAATGCTTGACCACATGATTCTATTAACACTGAATGAAGTCAGCTTCTGATGCTGCATATATCTCACTGAAGTACTAAAATGTCAAGCAGATCAAGAATTTTATCCACTTTATCTACAAGATATACACAATAAAGATCAGATCTCTTCTTTACAGTATATTGCCACAATTGTTAGGTTTAATTTTCAAACAAAGTCTGTAGATATTTTTCCAGTTTTCCTAAATTCTACTAGATCTAAAAGGTCTGATTGCTAAAGGAATAGTAGTTCTCAAGGCTTATTAGCTGATAACCAATTATTTAGAAATAGCAGTTCTCAGAAAACATCTCCAATTCTTACAAGTCACATTAGGGAACTCAAACTCCAGATCAGTCATAAATTAGTACTAGTATAAGTTTTGCTTAAGGAAAAGAAGAACTGTGTCATTCTTTGAAATAGCTGAAGTTGAACAAATATGCTCATATCTCCTTTCAATTAACACTTTTAAAAAAACTAAATTCCTCACACGTTAAAAGCTCAGACAAAACTGCAAGACAGGACTAGACCACAGAACAAGTTAAAGAGCAAATAAAACCACAAAGGCAAATTCCAGACAGATCACAACTATAAATATACACATACACATAAATGTCAAAGCAGAGGAGCCAAATCTCTACCCAGAAAAAACCTTCACAATTAAATAGTATCGTATTTGAAAACTTACAAGAATGAATGCAATAAATTAGTATCTGTTTAAAAGGCTTTCAAGAAAGCAAATCTATATATAATAGTAAGTTTTTTCTAAGACCATGCATTATCTTCCAAGATAAAGGCATTCTGACAATGACTTTTCTCCTCACCACCTCTAACAGCACATTGCCACTCCCTGAGCTACGTTTATGCTTTGAGACTATGCGTAAAACTTTAGACAAGAATGAAAGACATACAGCCACATTCACAAAGGCATTGAATAGTGTTTCACCACAGAAGTATTCAGTAGTTGGTCTCATCTACGGAAATAAACTTCAGTGTCTTAGAGAAGAAACAGTAGATCCGTGTAGAGAAACGTGACAGCGTAAACAGTTCTTTCTAACTAGTCAAAGGCCGCAGCTTCATTTAGTTATTCACATCACATCTAATAACTGCCCAGAAATTTCTCGGAATGAATCACAGAACGTCTTGGGACCTCAAAGATCATCTAGTTCCAAGGCTCGGCTGTCACCCATTGGATCAGGCTGCTCAGACCTCATCGAAAGTGGCCTTGAATCCCTCCAGGGATGGAGCACCCACAGCTCTCTGAGCAACCTGGCCAAATTTAATGATTTTTACTTCTTTTCACTGCAGAAATACATTGCCACTGTGATTTAAGTAGAAAACTCACTGTGGGTAAGGATACCAGAGTTTGATTTTACGTCTAAGTAATTATACAAGAGAAAGCAAAACACAGCACAGAGAATGTAAACTATTCACAGAATTACAAAGTTGCCATAGATAGCAACAGCATACCTCAGTAATGGCACACTCATATTTTTGTGGCGTAGATGGTGCCTTCAAAATACTCTGTTCAGAAAGAATTCAAAGCGAAATGCACCAAGCAACATTAACCATAGTTTAATGGAAAAGCAGGAGGGGAGCTGACCTAAGTCTCAAGTAGATTTTACACCAAACATGGTTGCAATGATCACCAAAAGCACGAGCAGGCCGCTAGTCAAACACGTACTGATTCTTCACAACATGGCCAACTTATAGGTCATTAACAAAGAATTGCCTTCTCATGCCTGATACTTGCCTAAGTCACAATCTCTACTACAGTTGAAGACCAAAAATACACTTGGAAGAATTTTCCAAGTTTCACCTCCCACTGCTGTGAAGGAACAGCCAACATCTTAAAGCAGGCTAAGTTCTTAGAACTCAGTTATGATGCATTGTTTTGGCTGGAACTCAACCAGCTAGGCTTACTTCACAATGGCATGATTAACCAGGCAAATGCACTTGGAAAAAAACTGAAGGAGAATCTCAAGTATGGTTGCAGAAGACAAGAAGTATTTTCATCTACAAATTAAGGATTCCCTAAATTCTTTTCAGATCCTTAGAGACAATAATCATTTCAGCTTCCACTCACAGAAGTTTGTGAACAAGGCTTCTTCTCCAAACAAATTGATAAATCAAGAACTAAAATAGCCAGTGATAAAAAACACTTGACAGATTCCTTCACATTACTAACAACACATTTATCGCACATAGTTGCAGGCTTCAGTGGGTTATGATGTCATTGTCATGCTCTTATAAATATCTACACAGAAAAATGCTCTGTGTTGGTAAGGAAAAATATTTTTAGTCTCCTTACTGTTGTTAAGGAGAAAAAAGGAGGAAGCTTAAGTTACACTTCACTCAAAAAAAATATTACATTTTGACAGGTTCCACACAATCTACTGCAAAGCTTATCAATTAACAGAAAGCAGAAAAATTCAGTAGTGAAGATGTGAAAATGCTTCCACATGAGAAACAACTGAGAAGGCTTGAAGTCTTTGGTCTTTAAAAAAAATAAATAAATGTAAAGAAATCAGAGGTCTACAGAATGATGGAGAGAGCAGGAGGGTGAATGAACTGAGCTGTTCTTGACCTACTCCAACCTAAGCCAGAGCCACTAAGTGAAGCCAGTAGAAGACAGTTTTAAAAACAAAATGGTAGAATTCTCTGCCAAAGGACAGTGTAAACTAAAAAAAAAAAATAAATTCAGGGGGATACCAGAGAGAAAAACAAAAACCACCACAACCACAGAAGAGATCTGGCCAAAGTTCATCAACAGAGAAGCCATGCAGGAATTCTCTGCAACAGGAAAGCAGAAAAGAAAAATAATCAGGTGCTTGCTTTATTCTCACTTAGCCTAAAGCAACTACTTGAGACCACTTCTGAATGCAAATCACTGGAATAAATAGACCATTTAATGGACAAGCAGTTCAGCTTTCTCAGTACCAAGAAACTCATTAGATTCATGAAAATCTCAGTGCAATGTAATTCAGCGACTTCCATGAAGAAATAATAAAGACTTTCCAGATCAAAAGCTTGAGTTGCAAGCATTAGCACTTTGCAATCAATCTCAGTGTCACACAATTGCTGTCAAAACCTATGAGTTCAGCCAGGCACTAAAATTCTGCACCAACTAATGTATTAGTAAAAGAAATGTGTTTGGGTATTCTATACTATAAGAAAGCATGCTAGAATAACTATAGCATAGTTCTGTATGAGCAGTAACCTCATATCTATGTACACTTATTTATATTTCTTCAAAAGTACATATACTAGCAGCACATTGCTAAAAACCTACTGGAAATTAATAAACCTGAGTATGACCAGCTACCACACTGCTTCTACTTTCTCTCCCACCACCTTTCTATCTGTTCCTAAAAAGCAACACATCAATTGCCTACAGGCTTTCAGTCAACTCACAACAACACATACAAAACCTTTAAAAGGTATGCAAGTAGATTTGTACTTTCATTTTTCTATCTGAATATATTTATTATGCAAATGTTGGAAAATAATTAATTTATATTGTTTTCCACCTAAGTGAAATGTTGAGGGGCATTGTTTCCTATAGCATTTGGGAGGAAAAAACAACGAGGCATTCAGTTAGACTAAGTAAAAATGTCTCACTATTAACATTTTAAAGAAAAGTAAGGCTTAAGGTAGCAGTGTGGTCATTGGATTAAGTCCTATTCTTGCAGCACAGAAGATACAGAAATTGCCCTAAAACCATAGAGACAGATCAGTCAACTCATACACAATTCCTTCTGTAGTCCAGCATTTACCCCAGGGATTAGAGCCAGCTGGCACAAGCCAAAGTAACGCTTGCCTTGGGACAGGCTGAGTCTGGACAAGAGGCCAGCCAGCTCAGAGACCCTGGGAACCATGACTGGCTCTCTGCTAGTTCTTTCACCAAATGAGTCCTGGAGCAGGAGAACTGACCTAATCACAGTGGTATGTACTGATCAACAGGAAAAGAACAATGGAAAAACAGTGGTAACTTCCACAGTACCCCTAGCCGATTTTCCTTCAAGAAATTAGAATGGACAAAAAGATCTGAGAAAAAGGCATTTAAAATAGATTTCAATAACCTACATACAGTTATCACAACTACCTTATCACCCAGGAAACATTAGGATGAGTAGGCTGTCTCAATTAGAGACTCTCCATTTCAATGGCAGGAGTATACAACAGCTGGTATTTTAGTCTTTATCTACAGTACATACACAAGCTGTAACAACGTCCTCGTGTTCATATTAACTATGGCAACAGTTCTATCTGTCAAAGAACAACAGTCCTAAGGGGTCTCTTCCATCAAACAATAACTATTAACAAACTGTTGTCTCAACAAGGCAGCAAGTAGCAGAGAATTCAGGACACCTAGAGAATATACAGTCCTTACATGTTTGCTTTCACTAAAAGTCTTCGGGAAGGTGGTACTGGCACACAACTAGGATCTGAGTTTTGCTTTTGAATGGTTATCAGCCTATCTTTGATTTGTTCCATTAGAGACAACAACAAAAAATAACCATGGTCAATTTGGAATACTGATTAGTGGAACTAATAGCTTATACATTACAGAAATACTTCCTTAAGTGAAAATGCTCTATAGCTTTAAACTGAAGACTGTCAGGCACATCTGGAGTAGTCTACTACTAGTTCAGTAATGTTCACAACTAAGGAACAGAGAGAAGCTAAGTCTGCAAGTCATTTTTTCCTCTTACAAAAGCATCAGATAGTTGTTTTCTGGCATATCTAAAGAGTTATCAGTAAACAGAACAGCTGGAAGAAAAACACTGAACAAACAACACAAGTCATAGTTATGAGTCACATGTGAGATGGGGAAGGTAAGTAGAAGTTGTGCCTGCATGATCTTGAACCACGCTCTATTTGGGAACTTTTTCCTACAATAATGATAAAAATAAAAAAATCACAGAATAATAGAATTGTTAGAGTTGGAAGGGCCTTTAAAGATCATCTAGTCCAACTCCGTGCAATGAATAGGGACACCCACAGCACAATCACTCTGCTCAGAGCCCCATCCAGCCTGATCTTGAATGTCTCCAGGGCCCTCAAAGCATCTACCACCTCTCTGGGCAACCTGTGCCACTGCCTCACTACCCTTATCATAAAAAAAAAAACCTTTTTCCTTATAACCAACTCAAATCTCCACTCTTCTAGTTTGAAACAATTTCCCCTTGCCCTATCACAACAGCTCCTGAAGAGCCTGTCCCCTTCTTTCTTATATCCACCCTTTAGGCACTGAAAGGTTGCTGTCCGGTCTCCCCAGAGCCTTCTCTGCTTTGGGCTGAACAGCCTCAACTCTCCCAGTCTGTCCTCACAAGGGAGGTGACTTAGAGTTTTGTCCCCCCTGAAATAGTGCTATTTATTAATTTTTCCAGACCTCAGTACGAATGCGACTAAGTTGCCTGTGTTACATTTGAATCACAGTTCAACTTAGCTTTCATTTTACATCCTTGGCCCTTGTGTTTAACACAGTCGTAACACTTAATGTCAGAGGGAAAAAAACATTACATGTTAAAGAAACAGATATTGTTTTGGTTTTTTTCCTTTTTCTTTAGGAGGGTGGAGGGGTGGTAATATTTCAGTCTCAGTGAAGAGAGGAACTGCAGGACAAATAAATCCACTTGAAAACAAGAGTCTCTACTACACTGTATTGTTTTTGATTGCTGTAAACAACCTTCATCTTGTTTGGCTGCAACGCTTCACTAAATAAGGAACTACAAGCATCTTGGCATTTTTTCTTTTTTGCTGTAGACATGAGATCCTGCTGTTCTTACATAAAGAGATGGTCACACTAAATACTTTTTCCAGAGTGTGTTTGTCATGATCCCACCCAGCTGCTCTTCATGCAGTTAGTTCCACTTACAAGGCTCAAATAGTTCTATAAAGGCAAGAATTTGATAAGGAGACATCAAGAAGAATATGAAGAACATCAAGAAGAATGTTCCACCAGAAAAGAGAATATATGTCAGCATATTTAAAGTGACTTGATTTAAATCGAAACACTAAGAATATCCTGTTCACCTGCTGAAGCCTTCTGCTTCATTCAGGTGTTCGCAATCGTTAGGGACTCAACGGTCTGTCCATTTACCAAGGTGCACACCAATGTGGTGGGTGGTAAAATGGCGTATATTTGATCGCGACAGGAGCTTATATAGCCTTGCACAGCTTCGTCTACGCCCCTCTCATTCTACGTAAGCGCTTGCGTTACTACTTCCTTATCTGGTTACTACAGGCAACTACTTGTGGGCGGAATCTTCTGTAACCACCGCCTACATTTCCCCCTCCCTATGCACAAGCTAACCCACTACAACCTGAGAGGACCCTAATCGCGTACACCCAAAATCCCCGCATTACGCCTATACATGCCATTGTCCTCTCAGTTAAGCCTTGCCCCGTTACATCCCGATTCGCAGAGTAATTCTAATCCTAACCTTATGGTGAACAAACGAGGCAATGGAGGGACCCTTTTCGTACTTCGCCTAATACAAACTTGTTCCCTCCACTGCATGGAAGATCTTATCCAATTGCGTTCTCTGCTTCTCTGCAAGCTTTTTGCATTTTCTTATACTCTATGCGGTAATTAATTGTGCGGTCAATCATCCGCTGGGTGCAGCTTAACATAATTTGCAAAAGGCAAGGCGCGCACACTAACAAAAGCAAGATGACCATAAGTCCCATAAGCAGACCCTTCAGTAAATGCACACCCCATTCCCCTATGCCTCTGAACAGTCCACGCAGCCAATCTCCAATTGGGTCTTTTTCCACGCCGATTTTGTTAACATGTTCCTTCATAAGCTGGAACTTCTTATGTATGGATTCACTGTGGTCACTAAGATTAAAACAGCACATTCCCGCGACGTCCTCACAACCATGGCCGTGAGCCAAAAGCAGGAAATCAATAGCTGCTCGGTTCTGCAGGACCGCGTGCCTGATGCTTGTGACGTCCATTAGCAAATCTCCGAGGAGTGACGTTGTTAAATTGTTTAACGGACCAGCAAGCCAGTCTCTCAATTTCCCTCAAGGCTTGTGCAGCTGCTACTCCCGGGGCCAGGATGGACGCGAAGATCCTTGCCGTGGCGCTCCAAAGCTGTACTTCATCTGAGCACGTACTGTCCAAACGTGATATACTTCGTTTATGTCTCACAGCTGCTCGGGGCGTGTTGGCGAGCATTTTAAGGATTTCCATGTGATTAGGTGCTAACATGGTAAGCTTCCCTAAGTAGCAAGGACCCCCTACCGGACGGCTTGGAATTCCTTGCCACGCACGATCTCCACAGATGAGGAAAATGTCAGGTGGTAACGCTTTTGGTTTAGTAAAACCCCCGCTCTTACAGTTAGCCCATGCCCCTGGTGGGAGAACTGTAGCGGCCGCCCCACAACATCCACTGGCGTTGCCAAGACGCTCGCCCTCACAGGACATCTGTACACTTGTACTGAAGGACTCACTCACATTGAAGAGCTGCGAGCTATTGACCCACCTGCCCCCCATTCTCTCACACGTTCTCCAGGGAGGGCGTGAGCTTTGTGTAGTCTGACCCCGAACTGTGCATGTGTAGATGGTGTAGATGGGGGAGGAGCACCAGTAGTTCCATGATGTACCGGCGTAGAGGCACTGAGGTTGTATACTAGTACAATTGTACAACTCCCAATATCTGTGCTCGTATCTACCACAATATCCCCCTCCCGTGAAAAGTGTGTGCCTATCAGCTGTTACTATTGTGAACTGTTCTGAGGAGTTGGTTTTAGGATCAAAAAAGGGGTTAAACCACGGGTTTGTCTGGAAGTCATGCGTCACTTGTCTACGACTCCATCCGTAGATGCCGGCTGGGTTTGAATCTGGGGCGAATCCTATACAGTTTCCCGCCATGAGGGCTATGTTATCAGTGGCATTAGGGGCGTTAGTGACATTAGGGGGGACTGGGAGCCTAATAGTTGTAGCTCTGGTGGGTCATTCCAGAGGGAGACGTTCAACCTTGCTAGTAAACAAATTACTCTCCGATAGCCAAGAGTCATACTATCATTAAGGCTACCCGTAATTCCAGCTGACATAATGAGTCTGTCTTGCTCTAATCCTGTGCAATTAGTATCATAGACGTACCCTTCGAAATCCTGTTCTTGGATCTCTAATGGGACACCGACTAAACATGTCTGAAACGGTGAAGTGGCTGACTGCGTAGAGAGACAAAAATCTGTCTGGCCTGTGCGGTTGGCCCAAGTAACCCAAAGGTTCCCCGGTTGTTCTAGTAAGTGTATACCCGTACCCACTCCCGCAATCTCATACAGGATCAATAAACAGACAAGCACTGTAATTTCATTAATTCTCGTCGGCAGCAAGGGCCTCTTCTCCGGGTCTTTCTTGCTTGTCTCCTTCCTTGTTGGTTTTGGGTCCCTGGGGCGTCCGATCAACAATGCCTTTATGACGGCATCCATGTTCACTCCGCCGGGCGTTCTCTCTCCCGCGGATCAAGCAGCCACCGGGCTTCTCTTCCGATGGTTTCCTGGGTCCTCGGCAGGTAAAGCAGGCTCCTGGCCGTAGAGCCCCGTCCGACGCTACCCAGCTTCCACTCTCCTAAGCCGCAGCCCCCTCTTCTAGGGTCATCGCCTCCTTCCCCACGGGAGACGGATGAGAGCAGGATCGCCACGCCGCCAGTGGCCGACCACTATTCCCTAACGATCACGTTGGGGTCACCAAATGAAGCCTTCTGCTTCATTCAGGTGTTCGCAATCGTTAGGGACTCAACGGTCTGTCCATTTACCAAGGTGCACACCAATGTGGTGGGTGGTAAAATGGCTTTTATTTGATCGCGACAGGAGCTTATATAGTCTTGCACAGCTTCGTCTACGCCCCTCTCATTCTACGTAAGCGCTTGCGTTACTACTTCCTTATCTAGTTACTACAGGCAACTACTTGTGGGCGGAATCTTCTGTAACCACCGCCTACAACCTGCAGAAGACAAATACAGACGGCCTGAGTTATATTTATCATAATTCACTATAAGAGAAGACAAAATAGCTGTTCACTGTCTTTTAAACATTTCTAACACATCCTATAGCTCAAATCAGGTTTCTTAGTTGTTCTCCATCCACCTCCCAAGCTGAACCTAGAAGTTCTGGGAAAAGGTGGAAGGGACAAGTTTGATAGTCCTACTTTCAGTTCTCTCTTATATGGCTTTACTTCTTTGGAGGAACAAATGCATGCTGGCCCAAGAAGAAACAACACAACATAGAAAGATGAACAATTAAGTAAAAAAAAGGTCTGGATGGAGTGGGTTCTAGAGAGATGCAAATTCCAACATCTGGTCTACTAAGATACTATAGAAATTAACAAAAGTCATCAAACTAAACCAACAATGGAAGATTGAACTATCTTTCTAGGACGTGATACTCTAGAAAGTAGCATATTTCCTGAATATATAGTGCACCTGAATCTTTCATATATTTTACTATCTTTGTAGGTGCCTGAATGCACTTTAAGAGCTCTGTTGATAGAGGAAAACATACAACACTTCTGTCCCCTACAGCTACTACTGCATTGATTTTATCTTCCCTTTAGAAGTCCATCCCCAGTCTCTATCTCTGCCTTTCCTAATCCCCCTACTCATATGCAATTTCCATACCTAGCTTTACCAATCAATCCATTCTATGCAAGGCCTTTCTCACTTCACCCCTTCTGGAAGGAGTTTTGCAGATGTTAACAAGTAAATGCTCTGGGCTCTCAAAACTTTTCTTCCCATGACATCCACAGAAAAACATGCAGGCCTGCAGATGAGTAGGACACTGATGACCACGCTACCAAGCTGACTAACATTATCCAGCAGCCTCTCTGCACTGCATAGTGCAGAAATCACTATAGGGTGATCACTGTCTCATTGCATGCTTCAGCTGTATTTAAGGAAGAACTGCACGTTCTCTCATTTATCCGTCCATATTCATGACACATCAAACACACTGGTGGCCAAATGCCATTTGGCTGCCTCCTGCTTGGTTTCAGTAGCAGCAGAAAATTAATGGCCTTGCTAAACTGTCTTCAACCCCAGAACTGGAATTGGCTGGTGGCCCTCAATCCCTTATCTTGAAGCAAAGAACCTTTTCTCCCTTTTAAGTTTATTTTTTTTTAATTAAAATTCCTTTCATCTGCCTCATCCCACTTATAACTTTAATCAAAGACACACGAAGTAAGATTCAAAGTAAGATACGCTCTACAGCATCTATGATATCTACACAGCTTTTACTCAAATGCTTCATGTAATAAAACATTTTTTGCTAAATTTGTGCTGAAAAGCAGCACAACCAAATATAAAAAAAAAAAATTGAAGACATTAAAGCTTTTCTGAAGCCTACACTACTTTAGGTAGACACACAGACACCAGATGTGGACTTGGGAAGCAAGTTCACTCTTCCACCCAGAAGCCAAGAAGAAAGCTGTTATCACCAAGTGAAGACAAATGGGTTCTGCTTTCACCAAGCTGCAGCAGAGCAGGTTGCCCTTCCCCTTCCATATTTCCCATCTGTTTTGTTTTGGTTTTTTTCCCATCCCATCAAATTCCTCAGAAACAACCCATGCCTCTGCACTTGTCAGGAATGAAGCATTATAGGAATATTTGCTGAATAGGAAGACATGCTGATCATCTGTTAGATCATCCTGGGTAACTGAAATTTGCACAGCAATCTTTTTATTTCCATCCTAAAAACCGTTCCTCTTCATCTCTCTTAAAAGAGAACCTAATCATGAGTACTGAAAAGATTTTGTAGTTAATGCTTTAATTTTATCCACCACCACATTCTTTTTTAGGTGCAACTTGTGACTCTGAAATTCATAATTGCTACTTCACTGCACACATGGTAAGTATGAAAGCTCATGACAACATGAACTGTTGTTTGGATGCAGAGCACGTGCTGCAACTCCTCTCAGAAGCCACATAGGAAGCTCTTTACTGTTAGCATTGCAGATCCTGGACATCTTTTCCCAGAGCAGGAACATCAGATGACAGTTGGGACTTGAGTCAGTTCAATTGAATCTCCTAAAGAACTGAAATCAGTAGAAACCAAACACAAACTTCACCAGATGACCAATGATTTGAAGAAAAGCAAAGTGAGTAAAACTAGCACAATGATTTAGAGACTATAATAATTTTTGCATATTTAGGCAAAGTTATACAAATTTGTTCCTGAGGAGCTACAGGAACAAACATATAAGAAATTTAATTATTTAGCTTATGACTCACTGAGAGGAGTCCTATGTGCACTGCTTCTTTCGGGACTACCATATCTTTAGATCTGGTCACCATGGACCAACGAAGTTGAAGCACATTGTTTAAAAAGAAAAAACTTAGAACAGAAATTGATGGAAGCATGCACTCAAGCACCCTACCATATGCCAAGGATTTCATACTATAATTCTACAAAATCTGAGCTATGTGATTTAGAACTTCCTCAAGTAGATTTTTGTAGAAATAAGGACTCTTAGACACAGAGAATATCTGATTTGAGTTTCAGAACTCTCCAGTACTCAAGTTTGACTATCTATAGTACTGTTAAGTTTTCTGACTTGTCAGACTATTATTAATTATTCATTATATTCTAGTCTGATAACTATGTTAAGAAAAAGAGACACCTTTGGTCTGAATAGCATGAGATGTCATTAAGAAGCTTAGGGAACACACCTTCTTCCAATCTCCAGAAGAAATATTGATGGGCATTTTTAAAGCTCCACATTACCTGTTACCCGTTATGTTATCTACTAACATTTCAAAAGTGATTTGAAGTGATTTGTGGGGTAGAGAAATCAAAAGATTTCTCTACCCCACAACCTTTCTTAGCAGCAGAACAAGTTACTGTAGAATAAAAGCTTATTTTACATGGCAAAACAGAAGTTCTCTTGCTCTAGAAGCACCATGCAAATATTTGTTTACCCATCTAATTCATTTCATAAAAGGCTGTATAATCAATGAATATTAAGACGTTATAATTAATAAACAGAGTTAGGCAAAGCAGATTATGATAACAAAAAGAGAATAGATAGAAAGCTTACCCACATCCTGGGCTCGCTTATGCAACTCCAGCAGAGTGGATCTCCAGAAGAGATCCTCCCCCACCGCTAGTCAGCTCTTATATGAGGAGAGGTGCAGCCAGGCTCCACCCCGTCCAGCAGCACAGGTGAACTGCCTTCACCTGTGCTCCATGGCTGACTCATTGCTCATCAAACAGAGGTTCAGGCCAAGATACAGCAGTTCCCGTACAAAGGCACATTTTGAGAAAGCACAGTAATTCTGCAAGTGAGAAAACCATCAGAGCTGCATATTACAATATTGTACATTACAATATCAAGTCAGGATGGAACTGAAAGAATGTTGCGGTTGGCACTGTTCAGGATTAGCCTCCCCACGCCCAAATAAGGACAAAAAATTAATCCCAGAGTGATAATTATTTCAACATAAGTGATATTTAACAAGGGAAAACAGAGGAAAGCATGCTTCAGATGTATGGATTTCAAGGAGATCAGAACTAAGTGTCATCAGGGGAAACAGAAGCAACTTTAACTACTGATAAAGATCATCAGATCAGCTTAAGAATAATGAAAATAAGAGTCTAATACTTGTGCAGAATAACACTTAAGATGCAATTCCTCTCTAATTGGCTACATTTAATCTTCTGGCTGGCTGGAAGGCCAAGACTAAGAAATATACTGCCTTCAAGAATGTGAAAGATTGAAGACTCACGTATACATTAAGGTGTCTCTCTTCATTTTCACACACACCACCTCAAACATTATCAAAAAAAAAAAAAGGTAAAAAATTCCAAAATTCGCACTCACTTATCTTTAGCTGATCACAAACAGAACTAGAAGAGCACAGTACTACACAAGCATTTCCATAGCCCAAGGCATTATATGCACTTTGTAGTCATTAGTCTTACATGCTACTGGCTTGTCCCACAGCTTAACAAAGAGTCATTACCCCATTTTATAATAAAAAGACATTAAGGACACAGACATTTCACATCTTCAAAAAAGTGACAAAGACATGAAAGACATAAATTGTAGTAACTTCAACACACAGTCAACAAGTATTAACTTATTTGTACAGCTGACTGGTACACCTAGCCAACTTTACAATAACAAAAGAAATTAAAAAAACAAATAGTTCAAGATCCAACTACTGTTTCAAAAGAACAAAGAGTTAAAAGTATGAAAACAAAGCTTACATTTTTTCCAAGCTATTTTACTTCTCCTCCTCCCCCAGGTAACAAAATTAAATTAACAGAAAGCATATGCTAAATCTCGCAAACAGATCTCTTCCAGTAGAAAGTTTCACCTCACTCTATATAATGCCATTTACCTAGAAGCATACAGAATTTTCAACTTCGTGGAAATTGAATGTATTAGTCTTAAAACTCTTTTAAATTCCAAAGAGCTATATAGAGGAAAAAAA